ATCTATATATATATATTCGGAGCAAAACGAAATTGGGAAAGCAGTACAGCAAGAATGTTAGAATACACAAAGAAAAGTCAGTTGTGTCTTTCTGGTGATCAGGATAAAAGGAATTGTGGAGCTGTTTGAGGTCTCCTGGTTGCTCGATTGACCCTCATACATCATAGCTCTGGGCTCAGGACAGCAGCTATTATCCTGAATTCTTGTGCTATAGCTGAATGCTCCGGGCACAGGCAGCATTGCGAGTTTTTCTGGTTTGAGAGTTTTATTCGGCAATATAAAAAAAAAGAGAGATAAAGAGACGTGGGGCCTTTATTGTATATCATTCAAAATATAGGAATGTATCTTCAGTCCATGCACTTCGGATCACAAACGATGTTTCCTCCTTTATGTAGAGGTGTGTAATAATAGTTCCTTTAAACATACACGGTGAACAATTGTTCCTGCTTCAGTAAACAAAGCCTGCTTATATTAAATAGTATACAATGGCTAGTAAATGTAAAATAGAATTGCCACTGATTGTGTGGAATGTATGGCTATTAAATAAGGTGTCCCATATGTGCTTCCTAGGAAATGCATTCCCTATTGATATGCAGTGTATAGTGAGAGCTTTGTGATGTTTACATGAAAAGAGGTATTTTTGACGTGACGATTCTAACAGTCGCTTGTTATGTTGTGTCTTTTATCTCTTAGGTTGCCTTCAAACAATACAGGGGATATCCGTGCCAGGTGACTGTGGGGTGCCAATGTTATTCTGTAAGGGTGGGGACACCCTCCGACTAGGTGACAATACATTTTGGGGATCCGGGAGATGCAGAAAGCATCCTACTATGACAACCCCGGTCTGTTTGGAGGCTACTCGTACCAGGGAGGCGGTTTGGGTTATGAAGGGCCACAGCAGGCTTTTGCGGCTTCACCCCACCTCGATAATGACTTCCAGAGATCATCTTGCTCCCTGCAATCCCTGGGACACAATGGTCCACTGGCCAAACCGAAAAACCTAAACGGGAGCTGTATGCGTTCTAGCCTGTCTTCTGATCACCACCAGCCCTCCTCTCTTTCCCCCCAAGAGAACCCCACTGCTACTCCGAATAACAATAGCAGCAGCGGCCAGTCTGGAGCCAACAAGTCCTCCTCGGTGAAAACACAGGCCACCTCCAGTCCTGGCAACAAACAGATCTTCCCATGGATGAAAGAGTCCAGGCAAGCCTCCAAGCAGAAATCCAGTCCCCCCACCACAGGTACTGGATTCTTCATTCAATGATTGCTTTCTAGTATCAGTAACCCATGATGTGCCTCAGTGGTCCAGTAATGTGTTCTGTCCACCAACATTGCCTTATAGTGCATGTTTATTGGCAAGGAATAGGAAGCCATCTAAAACAAAAAATGCAACCTTGCGATTTATTTTCCAGTGTATGAGTGCAGTAGGCTATGTCATCCAACCAGATGCTTGCTTTCTAAGCTTATGTCAAGACTGCTCAAAGATGATTGGCTGTCTCAGTAGTCTATGTTTTAGGACATATCAACCAATGTCTCTCAAGAAATAGTAAATATTAGTAAAGATATGCTGAGTAAGAGCTCTCTACCCTGTTATATTCTATGTGATCATGTGTATTCTGGTGAACACAATACCTGAGGCTGTTTTTTTAATGTTTTTATCTGTGCAGAAATAATAATTGAATCATAGATAAAAGGTCATGAAACAACTGTCTACATTGCTTGATCAAATCTCCATAAACCAGGGCAGCTTTGGGGAGCAGAGCTCTTAATAAATGCCAGGCTTATGAAGTGCAGGCTAATGCGGGGAAGACCAGATATGGGCGAATGCTAAGAGAATTTATTATGTAATCATGCTTTCAATTTCTGAGTGTAGTAATTATCTTTTATTTCATTTGAAGCGGCAGAGAGCAGCAGTGGTGACAGGAGCCCCCCGGGTTCTTCTGCCTCCAAGAGAGCACGCACGGCCTACACCAGCGCACAGCTTGTGGAACTGGAGAAGGAGTTTCACTTTAACCGTTATTTGTGTCGACCAAGGAGGGTGGAAATGGCCAATCTGCTGAACCTCAGCGAGAGGCAGATCAAGATTTGGTTCCAGAACCGCAGGATGAAGTACAAGAAAGATCAAAAGGTAAAAGGGATGTCTTCATCTTCTGGAGGACCATCACCAACCAGCACTCCACCCCTCAGCATGCAGTCCTCTGCAGGCTTCTTGGGATCCATGCATTCAATGACTGCTAATTATGAGACCCCTTCACCACCTCCCTTTAATAACAAACCCCACCAAAATGCCTACTATCAGACCCCTGCAAAAGGTTGTCCTTCCCAGCAGAAGTATGGAAACACTGCTCCAGAATATGACCACCATGGCTTACAAGGGAATGGGAGTAGTTATGTGTCTCCTAATATGCAAGGGAGCCCAGTGTATGTTGGGGGGAACTATGTGGATTCAGTGTCAGCACAAGGCCCTTCTCTGTATAGCCTGAACCACCTTGCACACCAGACCAACAATATGGACTACAGTGGAGCTCCACCCATGCCAACCAACCAGCATCACGCACCTTGTGAACCCCACCCAACCTACACAGAGCTCTCTTCACATCATCAGGGAAGGATCCAAGAAGCTCCTAAACTGACCCACTTGTGAAGAAGAAATCAACATTATCTAGGAAAGAAATATATTGGCAGACTGTGGGGTACCGAGCTAAGGCACTGCCTCTAAACGTAAAGAAGCACTTGTGTTGATGTCTAAATTTTTTATTTTATTCGTTTTTATTTGTTTTATTTAATTTCAAACTCAAGGTATTACAGGATTCTTGCTGCACTGTAATTTAAACCCATGTTATCAACACAAGTGCTTCTCAGGGCTGTATTTTGGTCGTAGAAGTACCTGTTATTATCTTAAATGGTATATAATAGGCTCGTAAGATTGACGTTTATTACATCACCCATCCAGTTGAAAAGCCTTCCAGACGAAAAATAATGTATCAGAATAAGGTACTAGCCACTCCTACGTCTTCTGTAGAATTCGATATTGATTAAACTCCCAGTCCTGTGGTCACAGACAAAATGTATGCACAGAGTTGATCTCAACTGTGTTTGATTTGAATGTGATCTGTAGATTAAAATAGCATATGGAAATTGTTACATTGCTGTGGTAGGTGCCTAGGCATTAAGATATAAAGGGGTGCTGATTACATTTTCTAGATAATTGCCATTGATGTCACTTCTCCGTGAAGGTTAGGCACCTGAGTAATCTTTGCTCTTTTGTCTTAACATGAATACAGGGTATATAGTATAGGATATACTATACTAGGGGATGTCTACTCACCAATCTAAGCACAGTGAATTTTGCTCAGTGTTTGCTAAGCTACCTGTGTGGACATCTCGTTTGCACTTCGAGTTTACAAAGGGTGAGAGCAGCCTAGGGCCCAACTCACTCAAACCTGGAGTCTTCCAGGCTTGCGTGGTCATGTGTAGAGATTATTTATTAATGCTGCTTATGGAAGCCGGTTAAAACGATTATTTTTTTCCTCTTTTTGTATTATTTATCCAGCATATTAACGTATTTATGATAATTAAGGAAATTGTACTTTTTTGGTATTTTCTTGTTCTAAAGTTTGTGTTTCCCTGTCATTGTACAATAATGCCTATTTAATTCTAGTATTTTAGGAGAAAAAAAATGTTAGTTTGTTTTCTTGTACTAATGGATAATGTAACTAGTCCTACTGGAGGTATGGGATACCCCATCCAAAAGTTATTGTCTAGCCATGAATAGGGAGGCTGCAAAACACCCTCTGGAGATCTCTTTGTTCCTTGTAGGTCATTTTCCTATTTTTTTAAATTTGTTTTTTTAAGTTGTCTGTTAAAAAAAAAAAAAAAATCATGGAATAAACTTTGTGTTACAAAACATTCCTGTTGTATTAGTGTGGTTGTGGGGAAATAGTTGGATCACTCCTCACCAGCCAGCTAGCTTTAATTCTAGATATGTTTGTACTGAAGAATGTCAATATTTGCTCTTAACTATTAAGCTGCCTGTATGGAATCACTGCATGCTGGTCTGTTTGTTGTATGCAGAGAAGTGTACAAAAGGCTCCACAATCGTGTCTACTGATGGCTATGTATCTGAGTAAACGTTCTACTTGTTTGAATATTCTCCAGTAAAAGGCAAACACAAGGAAAGAGTAGATAGCTACAAATGACACAGACCGGTAGCTTAGAGGGAACGAAATATTAGAGGCATGTGTAATTTATTAAAAGTATTACACTTTAAGCCACTTTTTATTTTCATTATTAATAATAAAAATACTACAGCAGTAAATCTTAAATGTTTTAAAAAGTATATTTTCATATTGAATATGTATTATATATACAATATATTGTTAAAAAAATATATTGTCAGATTTAAGATCACCAGGCAGAGGAAAGCATGGGACAGGATTGGCTCAAAAGGCTTTTTCAACTTCTTTCTTTATTTTCTCCATGGAACTGCAGGCCCAGATGAGTTCAAAAAGAATGACGTAGTATCAGAGGTCCTGTGTCATGGATTCAGTGATATTCTGGAGTGACAATGGGAATTAAGAGAGTTGCAAAAAAAAATAACAATAAAAAGAATAAAAACGTATAAAGTTCCATAGAGAGACAGGAGACATATAAATATGTAAAAATGAAAGGGCAGAAAGAAAGTGAAGGTTATACATTACAAAGAAGCTCTAGAGATGGGTGTTCTCAAGGGGTTAAAGGGGAGGGCTTAACGAAAGCGATATCCCTTTCTGCTCTTCAAATGAATGTGCAAAATGTTCAGCAGCACAAATAACATACAGTGAGACAAAAGTATTTATATTGTAGAAAAACGTTTAATTAGTATCAGTGTGAAACATAAGATCAAAGCTCATTCATTTAAAACATCAACAAAATATCGTGTTTGTTTAATATTAAAAAATGTGTCTTGTACAGTCTCTCATATGGCAAAAAAAAGGATCTATTAGCCCGTGCTTGCTTCAGAACTCATTAAATCTGTGTCATCTGCAATCCTCAAGCAGTACAGACACACACGAGAGTCTCTACATTAAATTACATCTATTTGCTTCTGGCTATGTTATAAAAGAACATTGGAATAAGCAGCACTGCTCACGATAGCCCCAAGAGCACACATAGGAGCTGTGTCTATGAGAAGTGCTGGCTACAATAGAACAGACGCCATCTTTCCCTGCTCGGAAAATGGCGAGTTATGGAGGAAATGAGGCAGATGGAACTGCTCAGCTTTGTTTTCACAAAACCTTTCATCTAATAAGAGTTCTTAAATCCTGATCTATCTTTATAGGAGAAATCTATATAGAAGGGGAGATATGTGTTAGAGTAAATGAACAAAGCTTCTTAAATCCTGATCTATATGTATGATAGAAATCTAGATAGCAAGAAGATCCGAAGCCTCAGAATAAAGATCTTTATTATAAGCATATTCTCAGATCTTGTTGGACTCAAATCATTGTCACTTTTTTGGAAGGTGAGGATCCTCATCCTTCAAGTCCATTGACTGTGTTGTTTTAGCTGAGAAAATAATTGAAAACACTATCACAGAATTCAAATCATAATGAAAAGTCTCAATATTGGAATGAGAGAGAGAGAGAGAGAGAGAGAGAGAGAGAGAGAGAGAGAGAGAGAGAGAGAGAGAAGAGGAATGAAGGAAGGAAGAGGAAGGAAGGAAGAGGAGGGAAGGAAGGAAGGAGAGAAAGAAAGATAAGGAAGGGAGGAACGAAAGGAAGAAAGGTAGATGAGGGAAGAAAGGAAGGAAAAGAAGAAGAGGGAGGAAGGAAGGAAGAGAAGGAAAGGAAGGAGAGAAAGAAAGAAGCTGGGCTGTGTGCACAATAAATTGTGTGAATGTTCACTTCAATAATCCAATAGAAATAATATATCAGGAATTTGCTTGTCATATTGGCTAACTAAAGTGAATATTCACACAATTTATTGTGTGGACATTCTCAACTTCTTTAGTTACTGAGCCTCATTGTCTTTTTAGCTATACATACATATAAATGAACATAAATACCTGCCCATTTAGTATGTGTACAAACATGCTAAACATTGTGGATAAGGCATATAGTTGTTATAAAATATACGTTCGTTCTATTAATCCTGCATAGTGACCATACAGACCCATACATATGTATATACATACATTTAGAAAAAAAGGAATCTTTGCCTTCTTGCTGCCTACGCTAGAACTAGACAATAGTGACCCTCCATATCTATTCTTACATGTATCATTTTCTTACCTCGCATTTTAAGTAACACCAAATGGAATAAACAGGCTGGCAACCCACCCCACCCCCAAAACGAATGCAAAAAAAAAAATAAAATCCATGGCGTTTTCCAGTGTAGGAGAAGGAATCCAAGAGGCCTGCCTTGAAGGCGGAAATGTTCTCTGCTTTGCTCTGTAGTGCAAAAAAAAAAAAGGGTAAATCATGAGCAAAATATAATGTGCAATAAACATGTTGGAGTACAGAAAGATCTCCTCTGTGGTAGAATGTGAGAGTTTCCAGGTCCCAGAAAGTGTTCTTCTTTTTGTCACCAGTCCATAGTCACTGAAGCTTTGCTGGGACTCTGCCTGCTCTACACCCACCACCCACGCAGATTTCTAGGAAACAAAAGTTTCCACGCTAACAACACGGAACAGCCCAGCAGCAGCTTGCTGATCACAACCCCCAGACACTGGGAAGGTTTCACGATTTGTCTTTTCTTGCCTGGTTACTTTCTGTCCCAGTTTGCTGCTGGAAACATTTTGCGTTTGTTGCCTGAGTCCTCGGTTTCCCATGTCCATAGTCATAAAGGGAGGAATTCTTAGCTGACACTGCCCCTCCACCCCAGAGATTGATCACTCTCCTCTTGTGAGGTGGCTCAGGGCTCATTCCTGTTACTCAGCAGCCTCTCCATGAGGATTTAATCTTGAGTCTCACTAAAGTGTTCCTCACTTGTCCTGGAAAGCACAACTGGGTTCTCTTCTCCCCAAGATGACCCCCAATGTGTCTGGAGTCCATTCCCTGTCCCCATAAACCCTCCTAAATGGTGCAGATTGTGCCCATCCTGGTCCCCAGCTGGGCTCATTGCTTCTGCTTGAGTTTCAGCATAGCCATTCTCTGGAACCCCCTTACTCTTGATATATACATTGCCAAAGATTACATACGGCGCACACACAGCGCATTTTTTTGGGATGCCCCCCCTATGCATTTATAGGAATTAATTCGCAGTGATAATGCACTCTTTTTCAGCAGGCCTGCAGCTCTATTGGTCAGCGGCAGTCACGTGACCAGGAATTGGCTGCAAGTCGCCCAGTCTCCAGTTTAATACATCAGGGTCCCCATACGCCTGATTTATCAGCAATATAGAATAATAGGGCCTCGGGATTATTGGGATCCTAATATTTCCTTTCCCACCCCTAGGCTGGCCAGGGGAAGCCATGAATTTTGAATTTGAGAGGGAGATCGGGTTCATAAACAGCCAGCCATCGCTAGCAGAGTGCCTGACGTCCTTCCCTGCTGTCCTGGAGACATTTCAAACTTCATCAATCAAGGACTCGACATTAATTCCTCCTCCTTTTGAGCAAACCATCCCTAGCTTGAATCCGGGCTCCGGTGGCCAGCCGAAGTCTAGGAGCCAAAAACGGACAGATAATGGCCTGCTCCAACAGCCTATCCATCAGCCTGGCCATTTGGCTACTGAGTTCCCCTGGATGAAGGAAAAAAAATCAGGCAAGAAGAGCAGCCAAGGATCCCCACCAGCCCCCCTGTCAACGCCTGAATCTGCAGGGGGGTCTCCGGCAGGTCAGTCTAGTGCTTAGGGGGGGATCATGGGTCCATCATTTTATTTTAATAATGATATTGTCAATGTGTTCTTATTGTTTCTGGATCCTTGAATCTCACAGTGCAGTGCTGCATTGTTCTTGTTTTTTGGTGTTCACATTACTATAAAAAAAATTGTAAGCTCCTCTGATTAAATAAATGGCAGTAGGATAAAAGTAACCGGTTTGAGATTATTTATGACTATTCTGGTATGTGTCACAATACAATTTGTAATATAGTTTCCTGGCTAAACTTAACCCTGCTTCTGCCTGAGCCATCAAGGCGGCAT